TACATTTAAAGTGTTGATATGTTTGTCAGAGGAATGACTCCTCTTACCATTTACCTCTAACAGTAAGAGTGTAAAATCTCACACCTGCCCTCCTGTGGTCACTTGGAAAAAGCCCTTAAGACATCCATTAAACTGATATTTGCCTATCATATATATAGTGTAGTAAACGTTAAGGAAATCTTATTTATCCATTGATGGACGTGATGATGTCACACTGTAAGACGTTCTTCGTTAGTGGCCCGCGTCACATCGACAAGTCGTTTTGTAAACACAGCTATAAAAAGACAAATAAAACATGCCTGCATGTTAAATCAAAGACACAAAGGCTAGTACTTATACACTATGTCATTTGTAGCATCACTAAAGTACTTAAAGCGTTGTTAACTTGGTGGTTGAAATCTTCTGGGATGAACAGGAAACAAAGCACAGTACTGATAGGGCTTCGAAGAAAAAAACCCAAAAACTTTAAGATTCCTTCATTAGACCAGCTGATATGCTCCGATATAGGGAGGAGCACAACACACTGAGTGCTCAGGTCACTTCAATCGTAATAAATACAGTAGTTCAAAGCTTACGTGAGTGCACTTTTGCAGCCACAGAGCATCAATGACGCGTGTTGTGTAATGACTGTAGACCATATACAAGAAATGGACATAGCTATCAGGTTGCAAAAGTGAAGCCAAAAAGGATCCCAAATGTGGAACCACTGCTTTCAGAGTCTTAGAAATAGAAATGAATGTCAAAGTCAGGAAAATGATATTTCTTTGAAAGGGCTTTGCTCACTCGTTCATCTTTTCCTTTAAAAAAGTAATGAAAATATGTACATTTGAATCCTCTTTTGAGGAAATAAATAGAATAGATGATATTTTTCCAGAGATGGTGGTGCATATGAGTGGACAGGATGTGACTGACACCTGGACTGTCTAATGGCTAAGATGGGTGTTTCACTACAACATGGTTGTATGTGCGTTGTTTCTCATGTTGTGCTTTATCATCTATTTTCCCCTAAATGGGACCAAGATGACACCATGCTCTGTGATGAAACCAACAATGTTGAAAAAAAAGAACACAAAGCTTGAGGTCACTAACACGTCTGATAGGTCAATCTTACAGTCAGAATTAATATAAAATAAACAGGATTTTTTTCTGTTACAACAAAAAATGACATTTCCAGCTTCACTTTGCAACCTAATGACTTGATCTATTTCATTTATATGATGGCAATGCATAACACCTGCACTGCACAGTTGGTGGTCTTGGAATGACGTGCTGAGGAACATCTAGCAGTTGAAGTGCTTGTGCCTTTTTCTCCACAGCAGCATCCAGGTACGTAACTATAATGAGTGGATCTTTACTCATGAAAATACCCTTACAATAATGGGAAGGCTAAAAAGAATTTAGATACCGACAAGGCTAATCCTGCACATTTACGGCAAGACTTCAAGGCTAAATTCTACCACTTCCACCAGTCCAAACCTTAAATGTCACATAAAGAAACCCGGGCTCAAAAATAAATTACACTTATAGCAACGATGGTTATGCTGTTAAACAAAAAGAAACAATAACACAACTTTAGGAATATGTACATACTGCAACTGTAAATACAACAGGATCCGTTGAGCCTAGAAACAAACAAGGAAACAAACCAACAACCTATGAATTTGGCAACAAGTCCTATGTTACAATAAGAAGGAAGGTATCATCAGCAAAGATATGAACAAAGACAAATCCCATGTTAGAAAATATATTGCTTCCTGGGTATTTCTGCTGACGACTACCTTTGAGACACAAGCAAGACAAAGAAGAGAGGGTTTTTGTCTTTTGTTCTTGGATCTAATGCTGGCAGTCAGACTCCATGGCGTTCGTTTTCTGACAGTCCCTTCATGTTTGTCTACAACTCCACAACTGGGTTTTTGTTTAGGCTGTAAACACATGAACATGGAGGTGTTCGCTTGCTGTGTTTTCTTTTTATTCCAAAGAGAGAAAAGCTCTCAAAAACACAGGCCGGATAAGTGAGATAATTTAAGACACATTTTGAATTTTCCTTAACGGGACAATAAGACGAATGAAATAAATCATAACAGATCTGACGTGGTGATTGTCCGGAAAAACAAACTTCCAAAAGACCGACGTCGAACGACAAAAAACATAGAAAATGTGATTCGTTAGTGAGCTTATTCCACGAATCAAGACAGATGCCTCTTAACATCCCAGAACATTTTGACCATAAAGTGTCTACAAGCTGCAAAAGTTCACTTCCTGGACCGGTAAAGGACAAGGAGGAGACTTGTAGATGGCAGATGCCCCCCCAACATCACAGAAGGTGTCAGGAATTGTATTAAACATGAGCAGAGGACCTGCTCACATCCAGGGTTTCACACACCTAACGGCGCCCTCCTGTGTTCAAGTGGAGAAGACATCGCCAGGGACAATCCTTATTTATCCAGTCAATTTGAAAACATACAAACTACTACCGTAGGCTCACTGAGCCGTCTTCCCTCAGTGGTTCACTCCGTCAGGGTGTTAAGTGTCGGACGGACACGGCTAACGGTGCCTCTATACTTCAGTGGAGAAGAGGATGCTCTGCCGTTTACTGTCTGGAGTGGGAATTGTCTCTAGCTGCAGGAAATACAGCAGCACCTGGACCTGCACGGACATCAGATTAGAAGACAGAGTGGAATAAAACATGAGGGATTTATAGATAAAAAGAGTAAGGCAGAAGGTCTGAGAGTGTCACCTGTGCCATAACTTCCAGGGACCAGCTGTCGCCCATGCTGATTGGCTGCGTGGGGTTCGCCGGGATCTTGCTGTCCTTCTCAGAGGGCCTCAGCAGGGTGGGACCAAACACTGTTGCCAGGTTATGGAGAGACATCTTGTTGACACTCTCCTTCTCTGCAATCCTGCAGACAGGAACACAAACGTGAGATCGGTCGGGGTCCTAGTTCTGGAGTCTTAGGGGTTGAAAACATCCTGCAATTTTATTCCACTCACACCTCTCAGTATAATACGGTTAGACTTTCAGGCACTGCAGGTGTGCAGTTTCAAGCAAGGTCCTGGAATTATGCATGTCTGTATACTTCTAATATGAGGCAGCAAAACTAACTGTATTTCATTCACGATGGACAGATACCAGACATAATACGTGTGATATGGAACCTCTGAGATGCGTTGTGTGTAGCAGGACAATGAGGAATGAATGACTGTACACTGATCTGAGCAGGTAGGGAGGACTCCGATTCAGAACATTAGGGCAGCAATCAGTATTTATTTGTGATTAATCACATTTGTATCTATAGTTAAGTCATGAATAATGTGTAATGTAGGTTTAATATTGAATAAAGTAATAAACATGGGAGTTACTGTATACAAATATACAATTTATTTTATCTCAATTACTAGGGTAGCTGTGGAGTAATCATGATACTGATCCTCATCGTAATTTATTTAAGTTAATCGTGAATAATCATGATAAATCGATGAATTGTATTAATTTATAAAAATGTCAGGAAATGAAAACTCAGAGTTTGAAGCCTAGGTCTTGAGATGGCATTTTGAGCTTGGGGAGCTTTAGTGAAATGAGAACTCTTTCCAGCAGTGTGTGTACAGTTAAAGACCATAAATGATTTGACTATGTATTAGAGCAAAGATAAGAGGATGAACGGTGGAATTATTAGCTTTACAGTGCACGTCATTCTACCATTCTAATAATTAACGTGATAATCTTGTTATTTTTCTTCTTGTTTTATTGCAACAATCCAAAATATGGACAAATATTCTGGCAAATGTATCTCTTGCACAACACATGAAGTGTATTGTGCATTTACACGGTGTTTGAAGGTGTTTGTAGCCAGTCTTTTGTTTGTTTGTACCTTTTCAGATGATCCAACAGGAAGAGAAATGTGACCAGGTTGGGTTCTGGCAGTGACAGCAGCAGGTTCAACATGCAGCTCTCTTTGGCTACACTGTCAGACAACGCTGGAAACAGAAAATGCCATAGTGTTTTTAAACACATTGTACAAAGCGGAAGCTGTGTCTGATTTTGCTGAAACAAAAGCTGTAGGTTTGGAACTTAATATCCACAGCTTTCCGACTTACTGATGCCGCCTGTAAAGTTGGGATAGAGGTCGTCAGTGAAAAGAGGCTCAGGTAACTCTCTGAAGTAGAGCTTTAAGGTCCCCGCGATGGCATTGACGTCCATCTCACTCATCATCACTGACACATCCTTGTTATCTGCAGGATGAAGAGAGGGAATTCAAACAACACGAGGACAGAAGGTTGTGCTGCAGCAGAGATAACAGGGCAGGAAAACATCCAAAGAAGGCAGTTGCTAGGACACAACTGTCAGCAGCCAGTCAATAAGATACATTTAACCCACTTTGCTAAGGAAACCGCAAAGATACATAATGCCATGGAAAGCACAGATTTGAAAAGGAGTTAGTACGCAAGTCTGGTTAATGATTTGACTGGACTGGAGAAAAATATTCTGAAAATCTCCAAGATCTAGGATGATAACCACCTGTTCAACAGAGATTACATTTCCAGTGCAATTGAGAATTACTGTATGACCACCTTAGGGATGCAAAGTCAAAATCCTTTCTTTTAATTTGTTCTTAATTATATCATACGAAGCATGCACAGAACAAGGATGTTAACTGTACTCACTCGTATCAAAAGCTGTTTTGAGGGCCTGAATATCAGTAGCCACCCCTGATACCCTGTAGATGCCCACCTCCTCCATTCCCCTCCTTTCTATCTCTTCTAGGCACTGCCGAACAATGTAGGGCACCTTGGAGCGCTCTCGCCTAAGAGAAAAATCAGTGGTGAAGTTAATGAGGACGCAATATATATTATACATAGAGTGGCAATAGAAATGAACTATATATATTCAATAACAAAATGTGCATTCTGAGCTTTAAAGTATAAAATAAAGTAAATGAATGACATGGAGAGTAGGCCTCAAATACTACCCTGTGGTACACCTTAATATGAAATATGATCATGTTCAATATGACTGGTAAAATAACACATTTTGTAAGTAATAAGTACAGGAAAACAAACCAATAAATACGCTTTGAATAAATACGCTTTAATGTGTTACCACTGTAACTCACTTGGTCACGGTGGTGATCTTGACTCCAAAAACACCCATAGGTTTCCGCGAAGGCATCCTTTTCAGGCTGAACTCTCGACTAGTGAACTTTATGGACAGTTTTACCTCAATCTGACACACACACAAAGAAAACGTGTAAAGTGCAGGAATAAAAATCGGTTTTGAGATGACTTTGATAAAAACTTTACTTTTAAAACCGGGAAAGTTGATTACTGATTAGGAAAATGTAAGATTCACAATGTAACTCTGGATTGTACTATGATATAAGAGCATGTCCGTACTGACATACCAGAGGTGATTGATGTGAGGAGATGGATGCATTAGATTAGACTGAATAATGACTCACCCCATTCATGGGAATAACTGTTCTCTGCCAGTCTTTTCCTTGGACAGCCTGAGGGTCAAGCTGGATGAAAAGAACCAAAAAGAGTTATTATTATTAAAATTATTTCTGGAAGAAGAAGAAGAAAGTGAACTCCTTGTCATTGTGACACAGCACACCACTGCACACAACCAAATGTGACCTCTGCTTTTTACCCCTCACCACAGTCAGCAGGGGGCAGCTTTAAGTGCCCGGTGAGCAGTGTGTGGGGACGGTGCCATGCTCAGAGCAGCTCAGTGGTAACTGAACCTGAAACCTTCCAGACCCAAGTCGGCTTTCCTAACCACCAAGCCACCACTGCCCCCATGTATACCCATATGGACTGTGTAATCTTGGACATATAATAATTCACTCTTTTGTTCAAATGAATTCAGATTTAAGTTTTTCACATTTCCTACAATGTAATACAGTGTCATTCTTAACAGTCCAACGTGTCCACGGTGGCTTCTGTCAAAGACAGAAGTGGCTGTTGTTTGCCCTGGATTTAAGACAATCCTGCTGAGCAACTTTCTCACCACTCTGGGTGGTTTGGTTACGATGACATCATCGGTCTAGAAAAGGATTGTGTCACACGATTAACAAAACAACCACTAGGTGGAGCCTGTGACTGTAACAAGGCTCATTTGAATTGTGGATGAAGTGTTACACACTGTACAGGTTTCATAAGGTAAATCAAATAAAATGATCATTCCACACATATGAAACACTCATACACATACAGACTTGGAGCAGTGTCCAAATGTAATCTTCCTGCTGCAGGCTTTCAGTGCCTGATTTGTTTGGTGCGTTTCTCCCTGCTGTTATCTGTCTCTTCCTCTGAGTGACACTCGACATTATCCTGCGGGTCGGCGCCATGTTCATGGCCCTAATCACACGCTATCAACTCTGCAGCCTGCAATTCTGTCAAACGCAACGTGAGACAGTGATTTTGAACAGGGTATTCGGCTGTAATTGTGTCACTCTGACGGGCGGACGTTTCGTCACTTGACAGAACTAATGTCATTTCAGAGTTTGCGTGTTCACATCTGGCGGTGTCAAAAGCCAAAACACTAAGAGTTGGCTCACTGCAACAGACAAACTCCACAGCTTCTTGTTCCTGATTGTGTAAACCTGTAAATTGGACTCAGTGGAGCCCCTAACTCCACATCATGTTATTTTATAGAGTCATTAATCTAATCAGCCAGTAGTGATATACTGTAGATTTCATGCTCTGTGCCAGCAGTGGTGACATAAGTGCCTATCAGTCGTGATTCATGTGTCTGCTGAACGATGGACAGACGGGGGGAGGATGGGAAGAGGGGGTGACGTCATGTCATACCGGGATCTGTCCCTTCCCCATGATGCGGTCCGTGCTCTCTCCGTCGTCTTTGTTCTGCTTGGTCTTGTTGTAACACTTCTCGTAGCAGAGCAGCCTCAGGGTCTGCGAGCCCTCCAGCTCGATCTCAAACTCCTGGAGGAGAGAAAAACAACAACAGCATATGATAAAAAAAACCCACCCTGCAGTGGCATTTCAAGACAAAGGGAAAAAAGGACAAGAATGACACAGAGATAATGACAGACTGAAAGCTGTTACAGTCAGAAAAAAAACATACAGTACTGCTCCTCTGTACTGTAATCCATACATGCAGCTACAAAGCCCAGCTGACCAATATTCCCTGTAATCATGTAAGAGAGCTCTCTGCATATGGTTTTCACGTCGGCTTCTTCTCCAGACTATAGTGGACAGATGTGAGTCATCACCAGCGGATCCTCATTAGCAAATATTATTTACTCCAAGCTGAGCACAGGCTCTTCAGGCCATGACAGACTAAAGTGTGGAGACAAAGAAAAACCCTTCACTCTGAAGGTATCTCCAAGCTCTTTGTGGTGCAAATATATTTACATGCAGCTGTGTATTACCATTACTGCACGCACAATGGTGATCACGCATATATCTGAAGTACAGATATCTGTGTCTTTGCTGTTTGTCTGTGCGACATACAGTGAATAGTAACTATAAATATATAGATATATTTACAAATATAGTTACACAAACATATTGTGTATTTGTCCAATAAAATGTATATGATGATTGTATGTATTACATAACATCAAGATATATATATAAACATAAGATAAAATATATGTAGAAATATATCATATACAAGATGTATATGTTGTGTACAATATGATATATTTAGTATAATATCCGTAATATCCAATAATATACTAAATGTAAATGTAAATGTAAATTATCATCAGAATATATTCTAACAAAATTGATGATTGTCAAAAGATGCACAGTTATAAATACACACAATATATTGGTAATATATATATGGGAATATAAATACTGAAACTAAGATTTCTTGGAATTCCAGAGATCCCAAGACTGGTAGCTGTCTTTAACAGTGAGTGAGTGTTTCAGAGTTCTGGTTTCTCACCTCGTTCCACTTGGGTTCGGTGGTGTATCGATACACTCTCGTCTTGGCTTTGTTTGAGAAGAAGCCAAAGGAATCAACCTCCAATGTGCAGTAGAGATCTGACAGAGACAAGAGAATTTAGTCAATACATCTGACTACAGATCTGGTTTACGTGTGTGGAATAGGGATTCCAAACTTCCGGTCTAGGGCCCACTTCTAGGCCACAGACCTTCTACTGTATCTGTCCCACAACTTAGGAGCTAAAGAATTATTTTACAAAAAACAACGTATAATTACTTATTTATGTACTGTGTATTATATTGTATTATGTATTATTATTATTTAACGTATTATTAATATTTTAAATGTTACGGAAGGAACAAAATGTTTTTCTCCGCTGCACTGTCCATATTTTAACCCACCACCTATCAGGATCTCATGTTCATCCACTCCATGTGTATTTTCTGTTGTTTGCACCGAGGCTAAAGGTGAGTGACTCACTCAAGCTCTGTTTGAGGCCGGAGGCGGAGTGGACGATTACATTCAGGAACCCGCAGAGACCGGGGGATTCGTCCTCTGGAAAAACAGTCAGAGAGAAGACAAGGGGGAGAGGGGTGAGAGGGGGTGAGGTGGAGGATTAGAAAAACATGCTGATCTGGGTTTGTTTTGGAGCAGACTCCCACCTGGACATGTGGATTAAATCCCTATATATAATTCATCCTCATCTCAGACACAAATATTTAACGTTTTTATTCCCTTCCAAGGCAATTTTTGTTAACGTGTAATTCCCAGGAGAAATAAATTATCCAGACCTACATGCTAGAAACTCTAATATTTAATAACTTTTCTTACTTTTCTTTTTTTTATATTAAATAATTCTAAACTCAAGGTTGAATTTGATGGTAAAACTCATTAATAACAATCTAAAAAAAACCAATCCAAAAGAGCTCACCTTCTTTATTGACACTCAGTGGAATGTGGTGGACTGTCTGAAGTTTCAAACAGGAGCTGGTCAACATTTGAAGCTCCACAGAAGACAGAGAAGAGGTTTTCAGACCTGGATAAAGAAATATTTAGTTTCTTAATTAGGGCTGTCAAACAAATATATTTTTGTATTGTAGAAAATCACAAGGTAGCTGGGAACTAATCATCATCAAAATTTAATCTTGATTAATCAAGAGATGACAAAAAAACAATGCTTTAATTTTAGAAGTTTGACACATTTTTTTTTAAAGTGATGCTTTGGAAGAAGTCTTGATGTTTTAAAATATTTAATAGAAAATAAAATGCTTTTTTTCATGATATCAAGGTCCAAAAACGTTTTAATCTTATAAAGCTATATTTTTTGATAGAAAATAATTTAACTTTGTAAACTTGTCAATTTTTCAAATTAATACACCTTTCAGACTCAGTTACTAACATGATTTAGTAATGTAGTGATCCTTAACGATTGTTCAATGAGCTGCACTACAGGTCCATGGTACTGATCAGTACCTATAACATTTTATATTTAAGTTAAAGCTTCTAAGCTACACTACACAAGTCTAACGTTATAAATTTCCTGTGTGCTCATGTCCACAAATTCTGTTTATTACATGAGAAATTCCACATATAGCAAAAAAACCCTAACATTTTTGACACAATATTTTTGAGAAGCTCACATTTCTTCTGCTGTTCTTTGATGATTTCCTTCCACTCTACACGTTCATAGTCGGAGGAAATCAGGAAACTGTAGCTCTGGAAAAATAAGCACACAATTTAAAAAAAACCCTGTTACTTCAGCATATGAAAACACAGAGAACAGCGTGTCATATTTATATTAACAGTGGAGATGGAGGGAGTCGTCACCTTGCCGTTCTTGTTGTAGAGTCTGATGGGCATACAGGGAGATGTTAGCAGGAGAAGAGACTCCTGTTCAGACAACTTCTTCCTCAGACGGTCAATGACTTTAGAACCTTTATTTGCTCTCTGAAATCACACAGATGAAACGTGTTTGAGCTGCTCCGGTGTACCCAAGAAATTAAATATTAAAACACATTTTAAAAGGAGCATCCACAAAGGATTAGCCATTACTGTAGAGCCAAGGAAAAAAAACAAATTGTCTGGAATCAGAATTTGGATTTAGGTGCCGAGAAGTAGCCAAAAAATACTTGCGTCCATTTCTAAAGTCACTTCCTGTTTGTTTACCAAAACGTCCACTAAGAGACATTACTACACTTCTCCTTCATTACATATGGAATAGCTTTTGATTTCCTCATCCTTAAGGTCGTTTGCTACGTCTCTGTCCCTACGACCTAATGAGTTGACATCGTAGACATGTTGGTTGGTTTCCTGGTCTCTCCGAACAGTTCCGCCATTTCTTTTGTTGGTCTGTCTTCTTTATCTGTGGTCATTTCTAGTCACATGAGAGCTACACTGCTCAACACCGGCCCATTATTTTGATGATACGGCTCATTCTCCTGCACTGTTTCCATGCATTTTTAAAAAGTCGATGTTTTAGTCAGAACAAAAATCCAATTTTCTCCGATGTCAGGTATGTGAAAGAACACACACACACACACACACACACACACACACACCTTCTCTCTCTGGATCTCGCTGCGGAGGTGTGAGATCTTGACCTTCATGGTGTCCAGCTCCTCATCAGGGACCTGGGGGATGGTGAGTGGTTCAGCCTCCTCAGGCCCCTGGAAGGTCAGCTCAGTCAGAGGGATGTACCACTTACTGTCGTACTGCTGGCTTTTCCTGCAGGTAGAAGGGAAATTGGAGAGATTTAAAAAGAGATATGAAGAGATTCATTTCTAAATGAAATTTAAAAAAAAAAAAAAGCTCCCACAAACAAAGATATTGTGAATGAGGGAATAATCCTCAAACTGCAGTGGACGTCATTCAACTTTTGCGGAGTAGGACAAATAGACAGAAACCCATTAAGCCTCTCACCCTCCGATCTGTTTTTTCAGTTTGGCGCAGAGCAGCAGATCAGTGAAGAGGAAGACGTGTCTCAGCTTCCTCGCTCCTTCCACCAACTCCACCATGAAGCCGTCCCTCAGCAGCTGCCGGTTCTGTAAGAAAAACGTCAGAGAAAGGAGCTGGGTCAGGGAAACAATAGCTGAGATGAAGAACATCTTAACTCACATGTTATAGAATCAGTTAGCAGAAACACACTGTATACATAAAAACATCGGCTATTTTATTAGCCTGACAATGAAGAGTCAGCAGAGGGGTTTTGTTTCCATCGGAAAAAAAAAAAGACAATTCCTCCTTCTGTCTATGGAGACGTCACGACAAAGCTCACCTAGTCATATGAATCAATCATAACAGATCAAACTGATTATTACTCCAGCAGTTTGGAGACTTGAACACTAAATAGAATCGATTCAGCAAATTACCTGATAATTGTTTTGTTTTATTCTCTCACATTCATTGATTTTCATGTCACTCAGGAATTAATGAGAAAGTGGAGGAGGAAAAGGGAGTCTTTTTTTTGGAACCCTAAATGAGAAAGTGGAGGAGGAAAAGGGAGCCTTTTTTTTTGCACTGACGTCAGACTAAGTAATTAGATGTGTAATGCTGCACTGTGCCACAAGGGGGCAGTGATACCAATTTCCAGGAAAGATTTTCGACATATAACATGAAACTTTGAAGGACTGCAGGGAGCAGAGACAGAAAGTGTTCATAATTGTTATGTTGATCAAGTGAAATTGGAGTTTTTTTTTTTCTTTTTAAAGAAATGGAACTGGATTATTAAACTAATGGTTAAATGTGTTGGTTGTAGTTTTTAGACATGTCATAAACAGTAAAGAGATTTAATCCTGTTCACAGAATTCAAATGTTGAGGGTGTGAAATCACCAGCTGGCAGACATATATGGTCATATATATATTTTTTCATAATGATGAGCTAAGCATTTCTGATGCGCGTGAAAGTACGTATCAGTTGAAGAGACAGGCAATTCTTTTGAGCAGGTGTTTGAAACACCTGTCCCAGGGGCCACTGCCGGCCCGCAAAAACCCTCACATCTGGCCTGAGACTATTTGTCAAATATTAAATAATCCCCATGATTTAATTAGCTTTTTTTTTTTTCTTAATTGTTGAACTGCTTTAGCTGCTCATTAAGAATAAGTCAAACATTTGTTATTTGCAGTTTAGGAAATAGTTATAAATATATGTTAAATACATATTACATTTACAGTATATTAAACAACTTTAAAAATATCTAGATTTTATCATATTTAAAATTAAACCATAGCTCGTTAGAGTTTGAGAGACCCGGTCAAGAGAGACAAGTCACTACAACTTGTTGAGCTATGACATAAGACAGCAGTCACACTTCACTTCTCCACCGTTTGTCTGTCCAACAAAGACTTGGGGTTTGGATTTGTTCCCCGAACCCTGTGCTACACCAGCATCACAGTACCCCCTGTCTTCTTCCCCCTCCTTTTGGACGTACAGATGTCAGTGTCAGTGCCAGAGACTTATGTGCTCACTAAAGGTGCCTGGACATCATGCTGTGTCACATATGTGTGTGACAGAGCCAGTGGAGAGAAGATGACGACAGAGATGAAAGAGAGAGAGAGAGAGAGAAAGATGTCAGGGAGAAGATTCCTCATTCCTCCTGTTTAAACCCAACTGTGTTAAACTTCACCAAAATAGTTCCTGTGCAGTACTGCGTTGCTGAAACTTCTCCTTATGAACGACAACATAGAACCAATGAACAGCTGTGGTGTAAAAACGTCCACGGAGGTTGGAAAAATCCTGCTCTAGAACCAGATCAGTGTGACATCTGTCAGTCCGCACACAGCAACATGATGAAATCACACACAGGAAAACTGAAAGATTCAGACGTGTCCGGTGTGTGTTGTAACGCACCAACACAGAGAGGACAGACAGCGATGTGTGTCCTGTTGGATTTGGGGTTTTCATTCCTATTTTTATCACATTATTACAGTGAGTATCAACTGGCTGATATTGTATTCTTTTAAAACCACAACACTTTCTTGTCCTATCAGACATACAGCTGTTGATCACTCACTGTCCACTTTTCTTTTCTTTGACCACTGAAGAGTTGGAAGTTCAAACAAAGAGTACAGCAAAACAGTAAAGTAGAGAGTACTACACCTCATCACTGGAGTGCGCCATCTATTGGGGAAATTCTATTCCAGGGAAAAGGAAAAATGACAGAAATCTAATGATAATAAAATTGAATAATATAATTTGGGCTGGATTAAAAAGAATAACGGGCTGTATCCAGCCCGCAGTCTGCTCTCACAGAACCTGGTTTATGGTTTCTTTTGGTTCAGGGAAATAAGTTTGACTGAAAAAATTTACTGACTGAGGTGACATGTAGGGATGTCCCATATTATAACTTTTTATCTGCTGATATCGATCTGCTGATAGTGTCTAAACACTTTCCAATTTGATATCAACCAATGCAATATATGCAGCTGTTTGGATTAAAGGCAGAGTACACATTTCAATGTGTGCAGTGGTGTACTGTGCACAATACAAATAATAGTTTCACTTTAACTTCAAAACTGTTTTTAGGTCACATCATCTGGGCGACCAGACATTGCATTACCGGGTTTTCATTATCGAAGAAAAAAACTAAAATTATTCCTACCAATATAACTAAGGATTTCCAATAATATTGGTTGGCAGGAAATTCCTACTCAGGTGTTAACAACAAAATATAATCTCCAGTCTGCAACTTTTGGGACTGATGTAAAAACCAGAAAACCTGGAGAAAACCAATGGACACACACACATGGGCAGAACCTGAAAACTCCAAATACAGGGAACTGTTGAAGCTTTCATATCAGTCAAGTCTCATTGCATTTGTGTTTCATTCTTCAGTCTGTCAATGCAGACCTGCTGTATTTCAGTTAACACCGCTCTAATAAAATCTAAAATATGCTTATGCAGCAGCTTCTCTCCACTGACGGGGGAAATATTTGATCAAACAGCACAGCACGTCACATGACTGACTCTTCCATCTGAATTTAAAAGCCGGTAGGAGAAATGTTGGCTCTGTGTGTTTGTTGGATCAGTTGAATGCAACACTGGTGGCAACAGAGCAGAAGAGAAGAGAGAAACACCAGGGAAAACACACACACAACACAGATTAAATATTGACCATCTCCGAGCGAAGCCCTCGCTGAGCACTGCTGCTGCAGCTGGAGTCATGGTTTGAATTTACAAAACATTTGTGGTTACATTTAGAATACACGCTCACAGGGGCATTTCTGTGTTTGTGTGTTTCCTCCTCGCCTGGTTGAGTGTGTATGAAACCTTAAGAGGAAAACGTGTAAAAAAGACAAACGGAGCAGAAGATGCAGCGAGAGTTGGGCCGTGCCACCGTTAGCTTTTATACGAAGCAGCTTGTGTTTTCATCTTTGCCGTCATTGAGCAGGGCCGTAGCCTCTGGGGGCCACTGGTGCTGCTCAGCTCCAGCAGGACTTCATTGAAAACACCACAGGTTGCATGATGGTGATCATTCCCGCTGCTTTTCAACCGAACAATAAAGATTTTTACTGCAAGGAACTTAAAAGTTTAGTATGCAATAATGGGGGACATTAATGCTAGGACTGCGGAGAGCGACAAACGGAGGGCTGCTTCTTCTTGTTCCTAAGAAAACTCCTGTGTGTTTTCCTTATCAGACGGGATGTCAAAGCTCTCACTCTTTACTCTTTGACCTCAGTTTATCTTCATCTGATTCACAGATAATTCTCCATAAGACAAGCGCTAGCACCTGTTAGCCTGTAGCTAACATTTTGAAGAACTGTTGTCTTATGCTGCAGAATTTGTTTCTAAATACACTTTTATTTTCTTACTCTTAGTTTTCAAATTGTACCGCATTGTGCTAACTGCTATTTCAGCAGTAGATTTAGCAGTAGTTTGGCTAAATTTTAGCCAACATTAGCTATTTTAGCTTTATCCAAAGTAGATGATCCTATTAGCTCTTTGATTTATTGTCTGTGTTTTTACTGCACCTTGGCTAACATCTAGTTTTTCTGAGCAACTTTTAGAATTTGATTAGCATTTAGAAGCTACCCTTCAAATTTAATTATGTTTTTAAGTACAAATAATTATTTCTGATTATTAATGATCTGAGTTGTTGCTATATTCCTTTGGTTATTTCTGCTTCTCATTTAGCATCTAGCAGGTTAGTTAGCAACGACGTGCAAGGTAAGATACAAAATAATGAGCCTCATTGATTTCTATTGGCTTTCATGTATCCATCATTAATATTTGATGACTGGTGTGAAGTTCAGAGCAGACTGGGATGGGAGTGTGACCTAAGGGGAAGAAAAGGGGGAGATACAGTGGTGAAGTGCATACGTGCGTGTGCATGTGTGTTTGTGCGTGCACATTCAAAGACAAACAGGATCCAGAGTGAGTGGACCAGAGAAGGGAAGAGTGTGTTTGTGTATCTGAGGGTGGTGCTGTAATGACCCCCCCAGTGGGTGGAGGGAGGAGCTGACAGAGTGCTTGTGCTTGCTCGCCCGCCGTTTATGAATAATTAACATGGAATCAGCCAGTCAGAGCCGACTGGTGGCTCATTACAGGGCATTATTGAACGACGGTGTCACGCGAGCTATCAGTCAAGATGCATCCACCCATGTGTGTCAAGTCATCTGGGGGGTAAGGAGAGAAGACAGTGGGGGGCAGCTGTGTGTGTGTGTGAGAAAGAGAGAACCACCAAAGAGAGAGTGGGAGAGAGAGAGAGAGAGAATCACCCTCCCTGACGTAATTCCCTGTTTTACCATATAAGGGCATGGGCTCTGCTGTATGGCTTCAGATTGGTGGACCCTCCACAGCGGTACACTCATCTGACACTTTTACGTTTACATGCACTTCCAAGTCTGCCTATTATACTGGCTAAATAACCAAGTAAACCCAAAATAACCAAAAGTCACAGATTAAACCGTTTTAACAGATCACAGTCAACAAAAGGTTCAAGTGTCGTAGCCTAAACGCAATTCAGTGGAAATTTGTCAAATTATATATATCAATAGCCAACGCAATTCAGTGGAAATTTGTCAAATAATATATATATCAATAGCCAAAATTACACATTACAAATTAATTTGAATAATACAGTATTAATAGTACAGGTAATGCAGTATTTTGCAAATATTTTTTTATATGTGCAATCATTTGACAGTAAAAACAGATTTGATGTTTGACTCTACTGTACGACAGCAGTAGGACAGTGATGTCAGGACAGCAGAAGGTCAAAGTGCCTTCAGGAAGTCTAAGTCAGGCTGACTCACCTCTCCCTTCTTCACAGTCATCGACTGGCGCCGCGGTGTCGACTCTTCGTTGATGCTGGACAGAAAGTTCTGAGAGATTCTGAGGGCGTCCTGTAGCAGCACATGGTCTGGGTGGTTGGTGGGTGTGTGTTTGAGCAGGTCCTACGAGTTGAGGAATGAAACGTTTTTAAACCATTTGTTTCTAGGCACCATCTTATTACTTTTTGACAACCTTAAGCTCTGTGTTGACTGCATTTTTTCTTGCTTACATTGTTTCCTTTCAGTTTATTTCTGTTTTTATTTTTAACTGATTCTTCCTTATGTACCTTATCTTCCTATTAGCTTTGGTGGCTAATTTTTAGTTAGCATTTGAATGATTGTGCAATTTATTTTTGTTTTTTAGTTTAGTCAACTTTTAGCAAACAAACAAAAAGCTTAAATAGGCACCTTTTCAGCTACCTATTTTACCTTTATTAAAGCTAACAGGCCAATAAGGACGTCATTTTGCTAACTATTTAGCTGTTTAACTATTAACTATTTGTAAGCTAACTTTTACTGATATTTGAAGTAGCTTTGTAGGCTTTTGGTAAATGCGAGATATATTTGTTTAAAAATGTAATCAAAATTGAACAGTGCTTAAAATATAGCACGTGTTTTAAAATTGACGTACATGAAATTCTGGGCCCCAAGAATTCCCATGCTCTACATTTCTAAACTTCTAAAATCATTGCTATTACACGTTGGATCTAATCGAATCCAGCCGTGAGCCTGTGGTCATTCTTGAAGAACGCTAAGATATTTTCTGAGCTTTTTCACCAGCGTTGTGCCCTCGAGGCTCGACGTCTGAGCTCCAAAGACCAAATATAATCAAACACAGAGGAGTCATTTCCAGAAATGAAGCAACAAGACAAGGCAGCCCAGCTGAGTCAGTGCCCACTCAGACTTACATGTAGCACCAGTGTGCTGCGCGTCACTCGGTCCACTGGTTTATAGAGTAAAGCTGTGGGTCAGGAAGAGGAGAAACAGATGAAACTTTATTGTTTTTGTGGCTGCATTTTTACCCAAATCCAAATCCAGTTTATTTTTTTATAAAGTAGGCAGAAGTGAAACCAGAGTTAGTTCACTGACCTTCTAGAGAATTCTTTGACGTCTGGTCCTTGGAGTCCTTTGGACTTCTCACCTTCAGGTTCTGTTTGGAGACAAAAGACCAAATTGAAACATGAGCCAAAAAAAAAAAAAAAAAAAAAAAAACCCATGGACTGCAGTAAAACACAGTGGGGTTGGTGTCTCTCCTGCGACTATGAGGTCATCTACTTTCAAATTAATTATGCCATCTGCAGCCATTTCCCCCCTGACATTGTGCTCAGATGGCTCCGAGTCATTCATCACTACTTAGACCATTAACAGCCGTCCATGATGAATTCCCCATCCTGAGTGGACACACCAGCCTTTACGGCTAACGGCCAACATCAGACAACACAGAAGAAGACAGAGGATCTATCAGAAATAATCCACACGTACTGAAATACTCAGAACTTTCTGGATTTGTATACAAAGTGAACTGCTTTAAACTGTTAACATAAGTCTGTGAAACTAAATGAGAGAGATGGTAGTTCAAATCCCTTTGGTAAACATTAAGTGGCTGCCATATAATGGAGCTAGCTTTATGCTAGTTCTGGGCCAACGGCTAGTTGGTTAATTAAATTATTAATTAAGTTGTTTGTTTATGTAGAAAATATAGGCAGTTTTAGTGAAATGTTTTGGTTGTTTTTTTCTTTAGGAAAAGTTTTGGTTTGCTCTCCTGTATCTGTAAGCAGACGTTAGCTAAGGCTGAACCGGCTCGTTGTAGGGTTAAGCATAAAACAAAACTTACTGCATGACTTATCTATCTAGTTGTGACAGAAAGGGCTTCTCAGAACCTCAAGTGTTTCTTCTTTAATCTTCTTTAATTATTGTGTAACTATAGGTCAATTATTTCTGAGCTAAAGTTGAGTCAGTGTTTTTTTTAATTTGCATTAATTTTAGGCTAACTAATGCTACCACTGACTAAGCATTGTCTGACTTGGATGCAGAGTCATGTGACTGCTAGTCCTAGACTGAAGCCCACAGGAAACATCTGCCACCACTGTCTGCTCAGCTCCATTTTAGTTATGTACAGGGCAATAAGTAACAAAACATGACGTACTACACACACGCACACTCTTACAAAACTGCCTCCGGCTGCTGTACTACAGTAACACTCAGCAGAACGTTCAAATTTAAATGCAGTGAAATGATTAAAGCTGTGTGGGTGAAATAATGGCAGAGTGCTTTCATGAGCACGGAGCAGCAGCACATCAAAATACAGGAGTGGGAACCATTCTTGTCTGTAATAACCCATAATTAAACACATTTTCTGTTCTTATTTGTCAGTTTGGTTGATCAGAGCTACTTTTGAACATGAACCGAGGTGCTGATATTTCCTGATAGAGTTTACAGCAGGCAGCATGTGGGAGGGCAGACACAACAACACGTTGACATTTTTGCAAATTTCCACCTGAACATAATCAATGTCTTACCATTGCCGCTTTCTTTACAACGTAAACAACCAGCTCTAAGATTTAACAACCCAAAAAATAATCACAATTCCTATATAAACAAAGAAATATACAAATCCAATATTTGAAAGTCTCAGTTAAATTATAATTTTTTCCTATTATTATTTTTGTAGCTGTAAAACTTTAATCAAAGTGTTCAGTTACTGTAAGCAGATGTATCACAAACAACTAACTGGTATGTGTTATATTAAATGCTGTGCTTTTTATTGTGTCAATAAGGCAAATGATTAAAAGAGGTAACTGAAGACAAGTCAAACATTTTGTGAACATATGTGAAAATATACAAGACAAAAAGAAGAGCTAAAACTAAGTCACAGCAGTAAATGAAATCCGAGAGGCCTCAATCATAGTTTGCGAATAAGAGCAGAAGCCCCCGTTAAAATGTTAATTTCCTGTCCTGACTTAATAAAACTTCCAGAAGATTCCTCTCCTGTGATAAATGTCGGACCAACTTTAATCCTAATTGGATTTGGCACTGCTTCACACATCAAAGAGAAAACACCAGTGGACGTCAACAGGATCATTTGCTGGAATTCAGGGGTTAAGAGTCGGATTTGACACGGTCGTAAAGTGACACCATAACTGATGGAACGCAGCAACAACAGTGAGACATTGAGGGGCTGTCCGTCCAGGGTCTTCACACATGTCAACAAATACAGACTTATTGTCTTATTTTCCCCTTTTTTCCATATTTCTCCTTACCTCAGAGATTTCAGCAAACTGCACGTTGGCCTGGCAGCACTTCTCTGCCGTCTCCACTGCCAGTTCATAGTTGTCCACAAACGCTCTGTAAACGCCCAGCTGGCTGGCCTGGTGGTGGACAGAGACACAGTAGGGACAAAAAGTCAGATTACAGAACATACAGAGGAGTGTGATGATAAAAACATTAGTGGTTTATTCTTCTCCAATCTCGTAATCCAGTCCCAGCAGTGATTGGGCTAAACCATGGACATTTCCCACGTCACAGGGCAACGTCACATGATTAGGACCATAGTACTTCCTGTTGTCTCTGGAAGTCCCGTCTCCCAAAATGAGACTATTTTGTGAGATCAATTATTGGAGTTCCTAGAGTACAAATGTTAATACACTAGGAGCTGGTACTTTACAGTTTTTTTTCTCTATAGTACTGCTTCCTTTGGAGGAAATGTGCTTACAGTAACCATCTCACACAGTAACCAGCTCAGTGCCTTCCAACCTGTGGGTCGGAACCCCATGTGCAGCTGCCTGGAAATCAAATGCGGTCCCTTGAGCTGTTTAGTAACTGATACTGATAAAATATTTTTTTAACTAATTATTACAACTGTATTCTTTCACTTTCATAAATATAAATCGAGTTCAAGTAAAATGCAGAATATAAAAATATCTGAACAGGTGCATCTTGATTGACAGCTATGATCTAACAGAAATTTGTAACGTCAAAAGGGGTCACAAGCCAAGAATGGTTGGGAACCTCTGGACTAGCTGCTGGAAGGCTAGAAGCCTGCTGTTTCTGTATTAGTCATCAGTCACTAACGTTAGCATGTACTGCAGGACTGGCGTCCACATATACACAGTCATGCAAAGTCATTCTTATTAACCGCTTCACAATGACTCTAAAAGGCAACTGTGCTGACAGTTAACATGTTAGCAGTTAGTAACTACACCCTCATATAAACTGAAACCAGAGAGTGTTACTACAAAGACAAACCATTACATCGACATTAAATTTCATGACCAAAGCAGGACATTATGTCCAGTCAGCTGCGTCTGTTTGTGACCTGCAGATAATCTGAACCACCTGCTGAATAACAACACACAGATGACGGTCTCTGCAACAGCAGGAAACAATGCTCTGCAAAGTGTGGGCCTGTTCCCGTAGCAACCACAGAGGGGGGATGCACAGTGCTGGGGGGCCTAATTAATGACTGGAGTAACAGGAGGCTATGAAAGCACGTTGAGAAAGCAGCACGGGAGAACAAAATTCCTGCAAATGCTGTCCGCCAGCGCTGCCATCCATCTCCGCGGCAAACAAAAGGACAGTCGATTCTCCGAGACAAAAGCCGAACGGATAGAGGAGAGAGTACAGTGAAGACGAGCTCTGAAAAGAATGGCAAAGACCTCAGCGTAGTGGATCCTTGAGTGCACTGAATTCACTGCCCTGGAAGCTCTTTGTGACCAAACCTGTTACTTTACGTCAGGGCTTTTAGCCATCATTGAGTCAAGGGGGAGTTTTAATTTAGGAGATCTTTTGTTCCTCACAGAGCCCACAGTAATTCTTCAGATCCTAAAGAGATTAACGCCACAAAGAAAAGAAGGAACGCACTATAGCTCAGTTTAGTCATTCGGGTTTCGTTGAAACTTGTCAACTGCTACATCAAATTAATTTCAACAAAATGAAATGTATTGGAGGAACATTACATTTTGTTAAAATTGCTTTGTTTAACACATGGTGGACCATCCATCCATTTTCGTCCACTTATCCGTTACCAGGTCACGGGGGCAGCAGTCTCCATGACCGCCACCGTACCAACCCCCCTGAACCTTCCTGCAGGTGGTGAGTCCACTGGAAGGTACCAACTGACCTAACTGCCCAGGAGGTGAACCCTGGGGTTCCACACCAATGACAGAGACATTGTCTCTGGGCCAAAGCGCCACCACATGGTGGTAAATGTTATCAGAACTTCTTGCCTTTAAGGTCAGAAGATCACTGGTCCTCTAGTCCAATACCTGGTCAATCTTCCTGTATGAAGTTTTCGCATATTCTGTGTGTTTATGTGTTTTCTCTAATGACTCTAGTCTCCTCCCTCCACTCAAAAGTGAGGTTGATGAGACACACTGAATTAGGAGTCAGCATCTATATTTTTGGAGGTCCAAAATGTTCCTGGACAGACACTTTGGGGGACGTACATTACATATTTTTTAAAAAATAACAGTTTTGACTAACATTATTATTTGATGTTTATGCTACATATATTTTTTTCAGTTGCAGTTTGTCCCCAGTTGTTTCAATAGTGGGGACCTTTCTGACCATGCCAAACAAAAAAATGCAGCAAATAATGGACTACATTGGAGGTTTACAGCAACACAAAGCAGCAGGTGCTCAGTGCTGTAGCAAACCTACTGTGAAGAGGTCAATATTGTTTAATAACCAATCAACCAACCAATATTGATATATGCAGCCATTTCCCCCCAAAACTGTGGTAAACGTCTCAGTACCCCACAAGCCATTCCAGAATATTTGGCGAAATCCAGGCACCCAGATATCACATAATTACACAAATATCTGTCCGATGTTATTGGTCGGCCAATATTATTATTGTTCTCATCATCTATATCATGTTTTATGATATAGGACATCTATTGATGATATTAACAATATTATTAATAATAATTAGTTAAAATACCAATTCAACTACTCTTTGCTGCAGGTCCATTTGTTATTGGGTGTATTGAGTGTTTCATTATCAAACGTGTTAAATAGTCTTTTGAACATTGTTTACTACGTGACTGCTCCATGAAAAATCCCACTGAACTCATTTACTCTCTTACCAACTATTTTTAGACTTGACCCTATGGCCTTTCCTAACCTGACCTGGCCTTTGACGTCGGGAGGGGGGGTAAAGTGAGCCGTGGCAGGAATGTGAAGTCACAGGTTTTTCCCCACAACAGCAACACTTATCATGTTAAACCACCAGTGTGGTCGTGACATCGTCCTAAAGAAGTTCCTTAGAAAACAGATAAAACTTCTACAAGAGAAGATTGTTGCCTCATTGGCTAATAAATCACTGACAATATCTGTCAGGCAATAACATTACCAGAAAAACTGTGTACAAGTCTGTGACCCAGAAAAGTGAGGTGGTGGAAAAATGAGAAGCGCAGCAATTTTTCACAATCCTGCAGTCCTGAGTCCTGCCCTGGGCCACACAATCTGTGCCGCAGCGGAGGCCATTCAGAGCGTGACAGTTTGACTGCGTGAGAGAAAAGAGCCCGAACGTCTGGCACCCGACGTCTACAGCAGCGTGAAGTTCTTACAGCGTTCGTCTGCTGTCGCCGCATCACAGCAGAAAATGGTCTTAAGTCATGAAAGAAACTGCAAGGGTGTTGGGATTCCTCACCCGTTTGTCTTGTGTAAAAACTGCAGTGGTGAGGAATCCAGAGTAGAAAACACTGTCAAAAACACCGTTACACTGTAGCCATTGTATGAAAAGGCTGGATTCAGCTGCTCAGTCTTAGCGTCACATTCTTGGCTATAAACACATTTCTGCCAGCAAAACAGGAGCCTGAGTCTGAAATGACCACGGGGGCAAAAAGCATCCAGTGGTCACAGGCAGAGTCTGCAAAACTGTCATTGACTTTACTGTGTTCTATTGGTGTATTCTTGTCTTAAACTAAATGTACTCGCAATGTGACGTAATCATGGGACAAAATTTGTAACACACCTTCAATATATGAGGTTGGATTTCTCTCAAATAAAGATCATTATTAATTGTGATCAATCACAACTAATCATGATTAATCGTAACTAATGATGCTCCCACAGCTACCCTAACATTAATCAGAGTAAAATTCATAATAGTGTGACGGCCCTAATATTAGCATAGAAGGGCAGAGTGGATATGTATCATTATCATTTTTACACACACTTGATCTCTGCAACAAAGACGCACTGGATTATAAGTAACATCTGGGTAACTCCACACTCTATATGTCAAATCAGATCCAAGGCCTGTGCTTTATTTTCATGGAAACATGGTCATTTTTAACGCTCATTGCTAGACCGCGTAGTGATTAAGCAGAGTTTAGACACTGAGAGACCGTGTCACTTGGGGTCTAGGTGGTATGGAACCCAGGTGGGCTGGAGGCCTACTTTTGAACACTCATCTACAACCAAGAACGTGCGACCTCCATACAGAACGACGGGATTGAACCGGCAAACATGATGGTGTAAATTCTCTGGTAGACAACACCAGTATCTGACATTTTCTTAATACATCAACAAAGACGTCCTCTTCTCCTTCTCCTAGGCACAGTTGCCGGTGAGACGTTATGGAGGAGCAGATGAAGCACCAGTGTGAATCACCTGTATTTACAGCCTTCAAACACTCCTCTCTGACACTCACACTCACACTGTGACACAGCCTGTCACTCTACCTGCTCTATTTTGCTCTCCTTGTACCTTTTGCCTCCTCTTTTCTGATGTTTCTGGTTCTCCTAAAACCCTCTCCCGGACTACAGCTCTCTGGCCAGACAGCTTTATCTCAGTGGCAGCAGTCATTGCTGACTCGACTCTCCTCACCATTCTTTGTCTGTGTCACCTCCTCCACTGCCACCTTACTCCCTTCCTGTTCACCTCCAGACAAGATCAACCGCCACCAAGCGTTTGGCGTTTATTTTGACAGCTAAGCGTCTTCTCCTCCTGCCTTTCATTAGCTACTGTCTGGAAGGGGAAACAAAAAAATGATGGAAGAGTGGCAACAGCAGTTTGTTTCTGTTTTTGTTTATGGACAATAGTAAAAAAAAAGTGTAAATATTTTTTTGTGAGGTAATGCCAGACCAGGTCAGGTTCACGTATGATCAGGAGCTCCAGCCTCAGTAAGTATTCACTGCGTGACTCCAGTCAGGCATGAAACACCTATACATCGTTTACTGTCTACACTTGTTCTGCTCAGTATTTATTTATCTACGCAGAGACACAGAAGAGACTTAGTTACTTTTTTTTTAAGAATTTCTTAAAATTGCTTTCAAATTATTCAGAATCAGTATGAATGAATACAAGGGAAAAGTTGGCACAAGCCATGTAACACAGCATGCACACGCCTAGACCCAATGGACAACACAAGAGTTAAAATACTATCTTTTTAAATGTACATTTTTGGAATTTACCTGAGATTTAATGAAATCGACAATTGGGTTTCATGACAGAATTCTGAGATTAAAGTTACATTTTTATCTTCTTTTTTTCAGACTAATTTAAGCTATCATATCAAATATATACATATATATACATTATATATATACAGTACATATATACATATATGTACAGATACAGTATATATACATATATATACACATTTATGCATATATATTAATTTTTATTATTCAGCCTGATGTTTCAATCTCACATTAAATTATGAATATTTAAAAACAGTTTAATTATATATTTTTATAAGATCCAAAATAATCCAAGAAACCCCTTTTTATAAATATTTAATTTAAGTGGGAACACATTCATTTGGTATAATCAGGTCAAACCAGTCAAAATAAATGCTTAATCAAAGCCAGGCGCTGTCTGCAGGTAAAGTGTGGACGCCACAGTTTGATGATCTGAAGAGACAGAGATGAAGAGAGACTTCTATTAATAACTGCTACACTGAGTCGACCGACAGCCTCAGAAAGGCCGCATTGTGGAGCATGCCTCAGTGTGTGTGTGTGTACGTGTGTGTGTGTTTGAGAACATGTAAATCTGAGGATGAAAGAAGAAACGATGAGCTAGAGACCCCAGTGGGAGAGGAGTATTCCAGACACAATTAACAAACGGTTCATTGTGGGTTAATTGACTCATTGTTGAAATCATTAAATGGAGCCAGTGTACGTTTGGCCCAGACATTTTTTGGCAGACGCTGCTGCAGGGCAGAAGGACAAGCCTCTGCCGAGGAGGGGACGGAAGGAGGGAAGGAAGGAGGGACAATCGGGACTCAGTTGTGTCAGATCTGTGACAACTACAAAAAGTGGAAGATTTGTTTTAATTCTGTTCTTAGGGTGAATGGTCTGAGAAGAGGTGTGATATGGAAATATATGTATAGAAATATAGTATGTGTTTTTAAAAGTTCTAAGACAGATGTTATGATTTCAAGTCCTGTTTGATTTTGATAAATGTATTCAAATGTTATCACCAGGTGCAGAAACACCAGGTTCTTTGTTCTTTTTTTGGTTGACAACACAATGTTGACACCACGACCTTCACCATACATAACATCATGTGGTGCAGTTGCAGTTGTAGACCTGCCACTAGAAGGTTCCTGGTTTGAAAGCACCTGCTCCCTAAATCCTAGGTTGGGTTTCTTAAGAAAGGGCCACTCAAACCAATCAGGTTTGTCAACCTTTAACCCAGTGAACTTTTGTTTTTATCAGCGTAAACATTCAGTTCTTAATCAAATTTAAAAGGAAACTGTTTTGATCTAGCTTTATCTGTTTTTTTTCTTCTCCCCAAACTGGAAGACCATGTGAAGGAACTGGATACAGCAGTTCCCCAAGATACGAACAAGGGACTTACGAACATTCGTAGATACGAACAACTGCTGATGTCCATAAATGTTCATATTGCATTATTTTGAACTGCGCGCCACATCCGACTAGTTCCCTTTCAGCCTCAATCACACCGTACGTTCATCCCCAACAATCATCTCCCTCATCTCGCCCAGTTCGTTATTCCACATGTCTCTGTGAACATCTCAGCACGTTAGGCTTTTTACCCCTTGGATACTTCACCGTTAAACTGATCACAACTCTGCCTCTCACCAACAATAACTCCTGCCTCTTCCTCCTCTTCGTCCTCTTCGTATGCACATCGACTTCACTCTAGGTACGTCTTGCTAGTACCTCACCTCTACATCAGCACATCTTGCAATATTTAGATTCAGCTGAGATTTTGGTTCAAATGTACCTCATCTACCATCAGGCAGTTCCTGAATTATTTTGGTTTCATCCTGTTACTCACCAGCTTCTGGAAAAGGTCCCCGACCCTCTGGTGGTGGCTCCACTGCTGCACACGAGGCAGCAGGCCGTCGTAGAAGTCTTTGTGGATCTCGTAGAGCTCAGGCACTTTGAAAAAGATGGTTTCAATCTGCGGCACACTGAGGACGGGCTGGGACGTGGTGGCTGCAGCTTTCAGAGGCTTCATGGGCTGAGAGGGGCAAAGAGTGGAACATCGTTTCAAGAAATATACAGTATATGGTACATTAGCATTCTGTCTGTGGGTGTGTGTGTGTGTGTGTGTGTGTGCCTACCAGCAGCAGGGCCTCCAGATGACTGAGGTATGATTCTTCAGTGGCCAGGATCCCAGACAGGACTCTCTTCCTCATCTCCAGACCTTTTTCCAGTTCACATTCATTCTGTAACAAACACAGAAACATGACGTCACATTTATATTCCAAACATCAGATCTATGTTTCACAACAGGACATAAAGATTTCTTGGCTAATTAGAAGCAATTTTCCCAAACCTTTAAATGATTGTTAGCTTTTTTCGCTAAATGCTAACAATGAAAGCTAATTTGTAGCTTGATTGTAGCATTGAATTATACATTTAACATTTCCTGCCACATTCTAGCAGTTTTGAATTTTTTTAGCTCTTTTTGTACTAGCCTTTAGCTACATTTGATAAAATCAAACCATTTGCTGATTAGGCTAGCTAGCTCTTGTTTTGTTGTTGCTATGTTTAAGCTATTTCCAGGCTACCGTCTGGTCATCATTTGGAAGGTTCAAGATTTTTGGGTATTTCATTTGCATTTGCTTTTTTTTTTTTTTGCCATTTTTGACTGTTTTCAGGAAAACCTCTGACATTTTCTTGACTTTTAGATTTTTTAGCTACTTAGCAAACACAAAGCAGTTGTTCCTGTCACTATTTAAGCAAAATTTGACAGGGTTCACATCACAGTTACGTGAGGGTCCAAGTGAATTCCAGTGAAAACAGTTTATACAGACACATTACTCTGCCTATTTTTTAAAGTAATCTAATTATTCAGTGAGGTATTTTACTGCAAAAATGTAGTGGTCAAAATTAAAACCCTTTCAAGAATTCTAAGCAGCTGCGCTAACCGTAAACCGTTTTTGTCTGTTTGAGCGCTACAGTCTACACAAAATCCAACCATAGGAATAGCACCTGCCTGTGATCCTCCCCTGTTGTCTCCCCTCAGCACAGTCAAAACTCACTGTGGAACATGGGCATGAAAGAAAACAGACAGACAGGGACACAGTCTCCTCAGGCTGTTTCTTTGACTGGCCAACTCTGAAATAACTCAAAGAGGCAGCGACTTCCTCGTGGGAATAAGGTTGACTTATAAGTGTATGTGTGTCTAAGAGAAAGAGAGAGAGAGAGAGCGAGTACAGCTTGGTTTATGAAGTAATCCAGACCCTGGGGCTGAAAGAGTAGGAAAGAGATAAAATAGAGAGGAAGGTTGAGGACGGGAGAGGAGACAGAAACCCAAGGAAGAGAAGATACCAGAAAATACCAGGGTTGGAATGATAAAGCTTATTCCTTTTTGATCCCAATACCGATACTGCAATTTGGAGTATCTGTCAATACTAACATCAACCTGATACCTTTTTTTTCTCCTCCAGCATGACTGCTGTTGCCGCCGCTGAGGCAATTTTGACCAATATCAGACTAATACTGATCCTGAGTATTGGATTGAGCCAAAGTAACTACATTCTTAACGAACAAGACTAGGGCTGTCAATATGAGGCTGTTAACTTTCAATAAGCAATTAGTTAATTAGCTTAGTTAATCATATTAATAGTCCATTTAGATGCTCTAATACACACATGCTGTCACACACTGAGGGAAAACGCTTTCGTTTCCTCAGGCTTCAAATACCATCTACACTCCCAGCATGTTTGTAGGGTCCAGTCTGTATCAGAGCAGTCAGTAAGTCTACGACTGACAGTCTGACTGACACAACAGTCAAATGAATTGTTCAGGACTGTACACTGTACATTGTCTTCACATGTTCTACAAAATTGTTTCCCAAAGACTGGGTCGTGACCCTCAGGTGGGTCACAAGAGATTTCTTTCTCGCATCATGTTTCCCAGGAGTTTACGAATAATGTCTATTATTGGGTCAGACTTGGGTCACATAGGTTTGTGACTTTTAAAATACGGGTCCCCAGAAAAAAAGTTTGGGAAACACTGTTCCACAAGACCATATTTCCATATTTATAATTCTGTGGATTACTCCACAATGAGGCAAAAGAGTAGAGAAATGCCATAATCTGAGGAAATTAGGCACGGAGACACAGGAATATTAAAACGAAAGGTACAACTGCTCTATATGAAAGCAACGTTTTTCAAACTAGGTGAATATCCTGAAAAACAAAATCATTACCGGTCTGAGCAGCACCCATAATGCACCTTTATTGTAAATCCTGCCCTGCACGGTCTCTCAGGAACTGTAATGTGTAATGGTCAGACATCCTGCATGAGTGTGAGTGAGTGGCCCACTCAGCTCTCACTGCTTTGACTCCCGCTGATTCAGCCTGTTACCTTCCTTCCTTTGCTTCCTACAGACTGTGAGACGTCTGTTTGACAGCATCTCTGCACATCACTGTCCGACAAGAACGTAAAAATACCAGCCATGGCATCAGATGAAATATGGTCAGACAGCACAATGCTGACACAAACTGGATCATAGTTTGTGATGGGAGGGCCTTACTGCGTCATCAGCTGTGATGTCAGCTGTCGGTGAAGTCGTTGACGTCATGATGCAGGTCAAAGAAAAGGAAGGTCATTCCGAAGTTCTCAAATCTCAGAAAATGACCGTTGTCTGTCTTGGGTCACAGGATTGTGACAACAGTGTCCCATCAAGATAGGAATCATCATGGTCAACTTAAGACAATCCCTAGGGGGCTCCACAGTACTTCAGGGGAGTTGCAAGGAAAAGAAAAAAGGGCCTGTGTGGGAAACTTAAACTAATCATCGCACGTGAAAAATAATAGACAATCTTTTCACAAACTACTCTACTACTGCAAGAACAAAGAAGGAGATTCAACAACAGTAGCTGTCGTCCAAAACACATCATCTAATTTTATTACTTTAACCTTTTTTACTTTAAAATTACATTTTTTTGTCTTGTAAATTTAGCACTTTCTTTCTGAAAGGATTACAAAAAAAATGCATGAGAAAAAAGTCAGTTTCCATTACGCACCTGGACACAACGTGACGGGTTGGAAGAGATGTTCGTACTGATATGACGACTTTATCCTCACAAATTTATCAATGGCTTTACTCATGAATTCTAACACTTTGACTTTTTCTCATAAAATTACAACTTGTTTCTCATCATGTTTCAATCCTATTCTCATAAATTTACAATTTACTTAAATCTCTAAACTTTCTAGATACGTTTTGTATTTTCAGTGTGGCCCTAATACTCCGTCCTAGTCATAACATGAAATATATAATTAGGCAGCAGAGTCACTTTAATGGGATGATGTACAGTACTCCTGAACGCTGTACAGAAACTGCCTTGGTCCCTGCTGGCACATGCATTCATTTAAAACTGAGGGGGAACCAACGCTCCAGGTTTTTATTGCCTCTATTACCACTGGAAGCCATTATCAGTTACCACGGGGCCAAATGACTGATTAACCCAAATAAAACACATGCTTTAAAGGCAAGAAGCAAATCCTCAACTCCATAAAGTAAAGATTTATGTCACTGCAACAATGTGAAAATGTACCGGTTACAGTGCACCGTGACTTTGTTACCATCAGTCCATGGTGTCGGCAGCCATGAGCTGAACACTGCATCACCGAGGTCAAGAGGTCAGAGGCCAAGTCACGACGTAATTCTGCAGATGTACTGTAGGAAATCACGTGTGAATAAGAATAAAAATGAAGGAGTGTATTTACAGTCAGATCAAGACTCTCCTCTGTTTCCTATTGAACACTTTACTGAAAATCGTTACGAGTTGTTTTTGCTCTCTTTGCTCTTTTCCTACAGAGAATAACACAGGCATTGATTCCTACAGACATTTATTATGCATTACAGAGTTGTGCTGAGGCCTGTGCTGCAGCTTCAGCTTTAAAGATGTAATGTGGCTTCATTTTCAACACGAGGCAGCAAAAAAACAAAACAACTACTTCCGTAATTCAAGATTACTACTAAAAGACGTTCGACCCCATCAGCTGCTACTCTGCACTGTGTTCACCAGCACAGCACTTTATGTCACAAATACAGTCATTTGTTAGCTCGGCCGTTATTTGAAGGAAAGAAAATGTCAGAAAGAGTTTGATAAATAGAGAACCACTCAAAATATCTAGCTGTGATGTTTCAATAATGATGAAAGTAAGTTTTTAGTTCTAAAATAATTCCTGCTCGAAAAGTGGGATGAGAAAATACAAGAACTACAGGTAGGTCTTGCAAGAAATTGTTTTTTTTTTTTAAACATCTTTATTCCAAAGAAGATATAGAAAAACAACATATTCTCACATCAATGAGACCTGAATGGAGAAAGTGACAATTTTCATTGTTACTTTATGGGTTTTTTTTTCACACATCAAGGACACTAAATAGTCTCTCTAGGGAAAATGAGTCACTAAAGTGCCTGGAAAAAGGCATATTTTAAGTGAGTTTAATTTTCCACGGCAGCTCAATTTAAATGTCTAAACCAGCAGTGTCTTAACTTTTACACCAAGTACTGCCCCTTAAAAAACGTGGCTCTGACTGTTCAACCAGTATAGAAAACACTGAAATACAGCAGCACAGGCCTACACTGTTAGCTAGGAGGCTACGTCGAGAACATGACTTATCCCTGATAAGATTGTTAAAACTGTTTCTTTGTATTTATTATAATCATCTACTACAAATATATCCCTAATCCTAAGTACAACCTTAGTACAACTCTGACTCTGATTCTTAACAAATCCTAAACTACATCTGGAACTTTAAATTACCCTGTCTGTCAGTGGAGAAAATGTACAAAATGTCCCAGCAAGGACAAGTGTCCCAGGATCAATAGTCAAACTTTATAGGGACAAAAATATACACATATACACACATACAAATACACACAGAGAGTGCTGTGCAACTTTTTTTCTTATGTTTTTTAAGTATCACCACTGCTGTAGTGTACCATAGTTTGAGAACCACTGCCTTAAGCTACAATGTTCAAGCACGATCTGTGTGAAGTGGCCCTCACAGAATAAGCCCGTGTTTAAAATCCTTCTCACACACCACGGGAAATATAAAGGAACGCCCAGCCTGGTGACATAACAGAGTTACACGAGGAAAGACAGGAACCATAAAGAGTCATCCTTCGAGAACCCAGACGACCGTCGTCTTCGGAAGAACCCACATCTCCAGACATATCATCTTTTATTCATTGCTCTGACAACTAATGAGCCCATCCCTGGCCTCAGAAAAGTGGCTCGTCTGTCTCTCTGCTTTCCTTTGGTCTTCAAAGAACTAAAAATAACACAAGTTTCCCAGTCTTGACATATTTGGGTTTGTAAGTCATTTTTTTGTCTCCCATATAAGTTCCAGTAGTTCCAACAGAATCTAATACTTCACACAAACATTTCAGCTTTCAGCAGCAGCGGCTCCAGCTAACATGATTTAGCATTTCCTCGTGCGCTGCTGATTTGTTTATGTATGGATAATGTTTGCAGGAGAAACACAGCGATCGATGTAAACCACGTTTGCAGGACCGGGCCACAGTCGTACTGCAACTCTGAAGGCACAGACTGTAATACCATTAGTCAACGTCTGTCAGGTGGGAGAAGCGGGACGCAAGCATCAATTCTATAGTTCATCGACCCTTTCAATATCCATTCAACATTCTGTTTTCCCGTCGCTTGATTCCAAAACGCTTTATGATATTGTTGCACAACTCTCAAGGTAACAGAGGCGTCTAAGAACTTCACTGATTTCCATCCTTGACGAGCCACTTTATTTACAGGATCTGGACAATGCAAGGTTAAGTACGGAGGACTGACCTCGTTCTCAAACTGTGGTCCTAGACAGAGTGATGGGAGCAAAAAAAAGGAAAAGACTCGGGGTTTGAGGCCTGGTGTTCCAAGGATAGAGAGAGATATTTAAGGGCTGCCCTGGTGCCCCCTGGGGGGGGGGGGGGGGGGGGGGGGGGGGGTAGTGATCATGAACTGTAATCTCAGGTCTGACTTTGGCCGAGGACTGTGTTGTTACTCACTGTGCTCTTCTATCACTTGGTGAAGAGAAATAGCCTGTGTTATCTTCAGAGACCCACAGTAAAGTAGGTCAATCAGTATATCAACAAAATACAACCTGCTACAGTCAACAAAGAATAACACACATTTATAAACAGCAGGGAAAGCTCATTTAAGCCGCTAACATGCTAACAGCTGAACAAGAAATTACCCACTGCTAACAAGACAAAATATTATGTTTACACAAATTATATCATAGCTAGACATCAATATAGATCACTGTGACTATTAACGCCTTTACGCCTGTGCATGCTAACTTTGGTGCACTGTTGCAGACTTGGTATTAGCAAGCAGTGGTATTTCTGCATGGACAAATATGGATGCAAGAGTGTCCAGAGTCCTCTGTAGATACCTAGATCAACATCACACCTTAAATGTTAAACCTTATCTATTAATGCCTCTGTGTCTGCACAAAAGGCAGCATGACTGTGGACTTTGATCGTAGAACTGAGCGTTTCTCTCAGCAGTGTTTTCATACACTGACGGCTCAGTTCCAGACAGTGACCTGACTCCAGTTCAATGCCGGTCTGGACGATGAGAGAACAGGACTCACTGAGAAAAAATTTGATCAGCAGTGACGGTGATGACTCATCACAATGATGTCATACAATCATCAACATCCAATAAGCCAATCCTAGCCTGTCTGGAATCTGACTCATCACTAAGATAAGCAGCGTGGGCCGTCAGAGGGTAAATAAAGGACGATGTTTAAATCTGTATTTTTGGCAGATATTGGAAACTTGCCTGGCTTCCTGGAATTATCTGCTGATTAATTCATTGTTGTCTGGAAGTTGAATATATTTGACTCAGCCTCTAGGTCTTTCTCTGTTAGACCTTGACACACACATCAAGCCACAGTACTACATTCACCGTCTTGTTTCCCAGCGTTGGTTTACTCAGCAAATCCTCTCTAATCTCATCTTGGGGGGGGGACACAAGTCTGTGGCAGAGTTAATATCCTGATCTGGTGTTTTTGTCTGTATACATGCATGTGTACAGATTAGAATCCCAGCCTTCCTGCCTCGCAGGTCAAAGGTTACGTGCAGTCAAGCATTTCATCATTTATTGGCAGATGCAGACCATCCATCAGATTGCCAGAGGCTCAGTCGCCTGTACGGACTCTAACAAAGTCCAAGGAGAGCTAAAATGGTGGGGGGTTGATTACCAAAAAAAAAAAAAAAAAAATGCTGTACATAGTGCTGCGCCATATATCCAGAAGAAGTCTGACTTACATCTAGGAGCTGTAATGACGGAAAAAAGTTCCCCAAAAAAATCAACAAATATTGAACAAAAAATTCATTTTCAACGTGTATATCGCAATAATGGACAAGACCTTCCTAATGAATTTACGGGAGATTGCGACGTAACCACGTAAAGCCGCTGGTCTTGGATGTCGTAGAACGAGGACCTTTGTAATAAATTTATAAAAATGCCAGTTTGTCTGTTCCTGGTTTTTTCTCTTATTTGAAAAAGAAAAATCCGCAGGTAAATATTACCATCATTTGAAGATGTTTTAATAAAGGTACAGGTCGTATCGTCTTGTTCAGGTCCATCTTGGCTGACTTCAAGATAATGTGTGTGTGTGTGTGTGTGTGTGTCCTAACCAGTGATGAACACCAGACGTCATAGATCACTGATTCTCTCTCCACAGACAGGAAAGAGCAGAGGAGGGAGGGTAAGAAGATGAAGGCAGTAACAGAGGTGATGGAGGTGATTCTGCACTAATACCCTGAAGGAGAAAAGCCCGTGTTACAATCTTGGGAGGGAGCGGCGGGGGTGAACTCACTCATCCGTTCCTAGGCTCATGAGCCAGGAGACATTGTGTTTTATAAACCTCTCCTCCTCCTGTTATGGCAGATTTGATTTCTCATCAATTGACCGCATTTGTTGTCACAGGATTGCTGTAATAATAGATTAGCACACTTCCCCAC